AGGAGGGGCTGGGCGCTGAGAGGGGGTGACAGGGTGTTTCCAGGCCGGGTCCACGGTACCTTGGTGAAGGCAGAATCGATAATGCTGGAAGTCATCGTAGAATAAAGGGGGAAAAGTTTCCCAGAAAATGTTACGAGATAGCGAAATTGTCATTCCGAACCCAGATAAGGACGAAACAAGAAAATTACATGCCCATTTCACTTGTGAACACAGATATTAAAGTCTTAAACAAAACGCACAACATCGTATCGAAAATAGTACATCGCGATTAAGTAGGGCTTATTTTAGGAATTCATTAGAACATGTATTCGTGTAATCCTCCACGCTCATAGAAATAAAGGAGAAATAGCATGCGATAACATCAAGCAATGTAGAAAAAGCAGTTGACAAGATTTGTTATTTACGATACAAATTCTTACTCAACTAGGAATGAAAGAGAACTTGTTGAACTCGATGCAGGTTTCATGTCAAAAATCTACAGCAAAGATTATTTGTAATGGCCTGTGGCCCCCCAGCCTAGACACACTGACCAAGGGATAGGTCAGCCTGAGCCATGAGAGGTGGGGATACGGACACAGGCATCCCCTTTCTTCATGTATGCCCCCATGTCCCTTTAAGATCAGAAACAAGCTACCATGAATTAATGTAATAAATGGTATGAGGGCCAGAAGGGAGGAGATAAAATTCTCATCATTTGCAAATGATGTGACCATTTATCTAAAAGGGTCACTGGAATTGACAGACACCAACTAACGAACAGAATCAAGAAGAGATTTCAGCGACATTGCTAGGTATAAACCCATAAGACCAATAGTATTTTTAGGATTTCTCTACATCTCCAATACCAACACCCGACTAAAAAAAAAATAAGATATTATCCACAGCAGCAAGGTACAATGTACCTAGACTATATAAGAATATGTAAGACTTCTTGGCAGAAAACTTGAATAAAGGATATAGAAGAAAATATGAATAGAGACACAGATTATCACTGAGTAGGATGACAAAGTTATAGAGATGTGAGTTCTCTCTGAATTCATTTTTAAATTTAGCGCAGCCTTAATCGAAGTTAGATTGTTTTGGAGAAATTAGATAAATTTACAATAACAGTTTTCTAGACAAACAGAGATCCACATAGAGCTGAAAAAACCTTTTTTTAAAAAAGCTGGAGAGGGTCCTTTCCGCTACCAGTTTTATAAAACCGTAATAATAAAAATTGTGATACTGGAACAAATAGACAGTGGCAGAGACAGAACTGACAAGCAGACCCGGTATCCACAGGAGCTTCATTTATAAGTCAGACTGTCCAGTGGATGGCGCTGCAGGGCATAGTTCCTACTTGACAGCCCAGGCAAGATGGCGTCTAGATGAATTAACGGTGTAAATGTGAAAGTAATTCTACGAAGTTAATAGGAGACGACGGGAGAATGTTGTTGTGATCCAAGGCAGTAATAAAAGACTTCGAAGCAAAGTTTCAAAGCACAAAGCCTAAGTGGCCCCTGCTCAAAACACCACCTGAACTTGATTACGCTAAAATTAAGGAGTTCTATTCAGTCGATAGAATAGAACAGGAGGGGTAGGGAGAAGCATCATGCCTAAGCCGAGCGCTAATATGTAGAATAAACGAAGAACTCCTGCAAATCAACAGAGAGTGGCAGCAGATCAAAGAGAAAATGGCCGGGATTCGAAAAGGCAATTTCCAGATAACAAAAACAAAATCCAATGAGCACACATCAAAAGATGACCGAAATCCTTAGTCATGAGAGACATGCAACTTAAAACAGCACAGGACTTTACTTCTGTTGGGCCGGCGCACGTTCCAAAGCGGCTCACGGCAGGCGTTGGAGGGCTGGTGGGGCTGCAGCAAACCTCCCGGGAGTGTGGAGTGAGCTGGCGCATTCGCCTGGGAGGCCAACCTGGCTCTCGGCATGCAGATCAGGTGCTCACATACCTGGGATGCAGCAGTTGCATTTCCATGCATGCATTTGAATAGTCTCGCCCACAGGAAGAGAGAATGAATGTGGGGATAAAGGGAACATGTATATTAATACATAAATACACACAGACAGATAGCAGTGTGTGTGGGGGGGTGGAGATCTAGCACAGGCAAACAATAATAACGCACTAGGAATTGAACAGGCATGCACGTGCGTCCCGACTAGCGCGCACACACACACACACACACACACACATACACACACACACGGTCCAGCATGGCAGGGACAGCCCAGGACTGCCCTGTGACCCTGCTGTAGGAGGGAAGAGGAACCAGACAAGTTAAAACGAACTCCAGAAATCTCTGTGGCACACAGGGATGAAGGTGGGGATAGGCAAATGCTTTGGCACAACCCGGGACAAACAGGGAGGCTGGGTTAGGCTTAGAGCGATGGGAAGCGGACAAGACCCGGGGCTGGGCTGAGGCTGGGGCAGGAGGGGTAGGGAGAAGCATCGGCCAGGGCCACCCCATCTCTACCCCCACTTCCAATTTAATAGCCCAGACCCAGGCCCCTACCTACACAAGTGTTGCGCAGACGGTTCGGAAGAC